CAGGGTCGCTATGAGTTGGAACTGACTCCACGGCACATAGTAACAACAGATGGGACAATTGGAGAGAAGTGCATTACTCAGAAAAGCACTTGTAGACAGCTGAAGGGGTGACACAGGTTAAGGTAATGACTGAGGCACTAAACAGCTGGGTAGTATCATTTCCTGGCCTAAGTTAATGTGACGTGACACCCAGAGCCTTTCAGCAGGCATCAGCTTCTGATCTTGCGGCACGAACAACCACACAACCACTCTAACAATCATTGATGTCATTTGTTGGGTGCAGACTTTAGACTAGCATGTGTGTGATGCTCTACACAGGTTACCTCATTTACCTCTTAGAGTCCCATGAGGACGTGCCATTTCCTTCATAAATAAGAAATGGAGAGTCAGAAAGTTGGAAAAGCTCATTTTACATCACCACGTTACTAAGTGATGGAACTCGGGTTCCACACACTGTCTGATTCGAAAACCCATCTTAATCACTATGCTCTAGTGCCTTTGTTATACTGCTCTTCAACTGCAGTTTTCTTTCTAAAGGACTGACTCAGATGGAGCTTTAATAAAGAAGGCCCTGAATACTTGTCTCCAATATTTAAAAGTCAGTGCAGTTCCAACCAAAGACAAGAGGACAGGCAGAGAGAGAGCTGACAGAGCTCCTTGTTCTTGAAGGCTCATAGACTCAGCCGAAGGACACTGGGGACACGTGCACAGACACTTCAGCTTCCTGGATGCCAGTGTAGGAATCCTATCTCCCATGCAAAGGCAGGGGCCATCTGGAGAGTGCATGCAGGCCAGTAGTTGCCAGAACCAGAGACAGTCCCAGTCATAGGAGATCCAAAACCCCAGGGCTTTTTCAGAGTTTAGTTCAGTCAGAAACAGGCTGCTCCCAACATCAGACTCAAGCCCTAAGGGTGACCTAAAGGCAAACGGATCCAGAAAACACCAGCCCCTTACTTTCCCTTTCTTCAAACACTAGTGTTATATCCACTGTCGGGGTACATAGCTCATTTGTTCTCATATTAGATTTCGCAAATTGTATTATTCATGCTGCCCTCATCTGAGGGAATCCAGAATAGAATTTTAGACTTGGATGGGATCTTGGAATCATTCCACATAAAGCTTTTATGTTAAAGATGAGGAAACTGAGGCTCACGGTGGCTAAGTAATTGTGCGCTAGATCAAGTAGTCTAGTGACAGAACTAGAATCAGACCTTTCAAGAAAAGCCAAGCAAGGAATTACATAATAGGTCGAGATTTTAAAAGGAATATTATTATTTTAAATGTTTGTGTGCTGGATGCTACTGTATTAAAATAAACAAACCAGGCCCTAGACTATTCCTTCAGATCAGCTTCCTGATGGAGCCCAAGGCCTTCCTGGCCTTCTGTCAGGAAGAATGCAGCCCTGCTGGAAAAGCCTACTCACTCCTTAACTGGGAGCTGTTCCACAGCCTAGCCTACAACAAAGAAGGGGCAGAAACACAGACACACACACAGAGTGACAAGCAGGTTTAAGAGAAACGCAGAGAGAGTCAGGAGGAAGGGAGCCTAGGAGGAGCCATGTAAGTCTTGGGAGTTGGAGGCAAGAGCTTCTCATTTGGGCTCCATTTCCCACCTGTATTCTCTCCTTTCACTCCAATAAGAGGAGCTGGACTTCCAGCTGAGATGTGATTTGAAAAGCAACAGTCTTCAAATACTTTTTCCTACCTCATCAGGTGACCTTGTTTCCACAATTTCTAAACAGTCTGTCGCAGGAGAAAAGATGAGGCTTTCTACTCCCACAAAGATTCATAGCCTTGGAAACCCTGCACAGGGTTGCTTAGAGTCGGAACTGACTCCAACAGCCCTAAACAACAACAACAATTAGTCTGTGTTCTCAGAAATCACTAGGTAATAGTAAAGACTGGAATTAGTTTCCTGTAGAACTACTTGTTACATTGAGTGGAAAGGTCAACCACAGATTCCAAACGAGTTGGGCTGCAAACCTCAAGGTTGGCAGTTCGAAACAACCTGCTGTTCCACGGGAGAAAGATGAGGCTTTTTGCTCCCGTAAAGATTTATAGCCTCGGAAACCCTATGTGGGATCGCTAGGAGTAGGAAGCGACTCCACGGTACATAACCACCACCACCATCTTCAAGCGAGGATGACGAGACTTCATCTCACACACTTAGGGCATGTTATCAGGAGGAGGGACCAATCCCTGGACAAGAACATCATGCTTGGTACAGTAGATAGGTAAACAAGATAGACTGGCGCAGTGGCTACATCAATGGGCTGAAACAATCACTGTGAGGATGGTGCAGGACCTGGTGTGTTTTGCTCTGTTCTACACAGGGTCACTGTGGGTCAGAACAAGCAGCCTCATCAATAGACCTAGGTGAGAACTGCAATTTCAAGTAAAACAGGGTAAGGTTAAATGTCCTTTGGCTTAAGTCAATCTTCTCTATTCTTCATGCTTCTCTATTCTAATTTAACCAAGTTCCTATGATTGAGTTCTCACTTTCAAATGCTGCAGTTAGGCTGAGAGTTTTCACTAAATCGCTCCCGTATCTAGACAATAATCACACAGTATTGCATAGTTATGTAATCAAATCTGAAACAGGATCTTTTCCAGCTCTGCAACAATGCTGTGTGGAATCTGCTGGTATACAGTGAGGCTGAAATCAACGAGTTTCTTTGTCACTTTGGCTGATGACTATGAAATGCTCAGAATGTGACAGGAGACATGGAAATTGTCCCTACCTCTGAAATGATAAATCTCAATTTGTAAGGCAATTCAAATGAAAAAAAGAGTCTGAGCTTTTGTCCTAAACGCTGCCCTATGTTAGGGTGCACCCTGAACAGACAGCTTGGACCCTTTATGGGTGCCTGAAGACGCTGGGGTCTCTTTGGACAAACAGTTGATATAGAATTACAGTCATCTTCTTGTCTTCAAAATGAGAATACATGTCACAACTCTTAAAGATTCATTTTAAGACCGTGCCAGTAGCTGTAGGTAACATCTTCCTCCCAAGACAGAGAGGACACATTCATGTGCTCTAACGGTCTGTTTCTTGGCTGAGAAGGTGAGCCTTTTTAACAAGGCAAGCTCAGAAACTTTACTTTGCAAAGAATTTGGGAGAGGTTGGTCCTCCTCACCTGTTTGACCAGCACATTCTTCATGACGACCATGGGGGACAGGGTTGGGAAGGAAGTGTTTGCGGTCTTGGAGCTCTGCCTCAGCCTGTCTTCTCGGCTCCAGCCTAAGGCGCTCAGCATGTCCTCAGCTTCCATCTGTTCGGCAGAGCTCAGACATTCCGAGCTCCCATCTGGTGGGTAGAAAAATGGTCAGTTCATTTTGGCTGTAGGGCAAGGGCTCTTAACCCTAGCATGGAGCCATGAACACCATGAAATTAAATGCAATGTTTGTGATGTGTGCGTTTGTGAAATTTTCTAAGATATTTTCTTCTGTACCTTTTTGCAGATTCTTAACAGGATCTATAAATCTCCCCTGATCCTCAAAGATTAAGAATCCCTGCTGTAGGACAGCTTGACTTCCTTTCTCTTGTAGACATAAACCTGTCAGTTAAGGCTCATGTGAAAGCAGTCATCACTAAAGTCTATCAGAGAAATAAGGTGAAGACTTCAAGTCCATTCCTTTCCAGAATCTGTTACTGATGTGGGAAGGAAGTGTGTAGCCCACAGCAGGATTAAGGACTTTATAAGCTCTGGGTACTACAAGATGTCATAGTAATAACAAAACTAAAACCAATCTGTAAGCCTCAAATTTTATATTCATGCTGAAAACTGCTTCTTCTTAAATCTGCTAATTGTACAATTTTTAATAAAGTTCATCAAAGCTGAGGTTAAAATTTGTACTTCTTTGTCAGTCTCCATCCAGCCCCTCCTTATAAGTACTCCTCTGTTGGGGTCCTCAGTGCATGCTGAGTGTGCCTATTGGGGGATCCTGTACAATGGGGTGGAGCAGGATTCTCGTCGAATTCCAAGGTGAAAGAAATAAGGTTGCTCTCTGTAAAATCCTTACAAAAAGAACACGATTTAGCTTCCAGCTGTAGTAAACCAAGAGGCTGCTGTGAGTGTGCTACTAAGGAGTCTGAGAGTTCATGGATCTGGAGTGGACTGGATGAAGCAAGAGTGGAATGTGATGTCATTACTCACTTAGAGGAAGACCCTGTAACCAGAGGACATTCATCAAGAAACAAACATCAGGATCTCCAGGGAAACTTAGTAAAAATGAAGATGTAGTTACAGCCCCCCACTTCCACTTGCAGAACTGATTTACCAAAGCAGGGGTGCCCAGACCTTGGGTGTTTTTACACAGCACCATAGTAATCCAAAATGCTCGTCTAATTAAGAGCCATTAAGCCAGAAGCAATGGACCCCAAACCAATAGGCATACCTAGGACCTGGAGCTTGGTTTCTAAACATGGCTCTGTACAAGAAGGAAACCCTCAGCAAAGTAGCAGATCCTTCATCTTTAGCAGGAAAGGTACATCTTTTTGTCCTAGAAAACAAGTAAGTGCTCAAGGGGACATGCCAGAAAGACACAGGATCTAGCTAGAAGAGACTTTCACTGGTCATATTTTGTGCAATTTGAGTATCAAGAATAATGATTGACAAATTGAATTATAAAATAATTCAATTAATCTATAATGACACTAAGAAAAAGGAGGGGAGCAGTGATAACACTTAACAGAGAATGATAGCTAATGTATAAGGAATGAGAAAATTTTTAAATCACCATTTTTTTTTTTTTTTAAACTAGCAATGTAGTAATAGATTCAAGCAAGTTAAAATCACCAGAGGAGAGAGGTTGTTGGGGAACAGGATAGTCAGACAATCTCAATAAGGTAGTGATTAACTACAAAGAGAAAAGGGTACTTGTAAATATCTAGTCTAGTAATCAACTGGAGTCTAACCAAGAATAAGGCCAACTTTTGAGTTCAGTATTCTTGTCAAAAATATTTATCCTAATGCTGATAATGAGGAAACAATCCAAATTGCAGGGCATTCTACCACACAACAGGTGTAAGTCATGCAGAGTCAATGTCCTGGGGACAATGAGAGAAAAGATGGGGGCCTGCTCCCGGTTAAGTAGGATTAGAAAGACAGGACAGCTAGCGACATACAAGCCACAATCATCTACTGGATCCTGGACCCCAAACAGACACCTGTAAAGGACACTACTGAAACAACAGAAAAGGTCTGGATATGGACTGGATCTCATGATAACTGTGTCAATGTTAAATTTCTTGGGTATGATAATGATATTTTAGTTACATAAAGAATGCCCTTGTTTATAAGAGATATATGCTGAAGTGTTTAGGGAGATGGGCAAGTAAGCAACATCCTTTCAAATAATTCAGCCAACGTACTGGGGGCTTCATTAAATTTGTGGGAAAATGGAATTAAAAGAATTTGCCTATCCATGAACTTTTGAACCCCCCTCATACACCCACTCCTCACTTATCAATGTAGTGAAACTTCAAAGACCAGGTTGTTGTTGTTGTTAGTGCCATCGAGTTGGTTCCAACTCATAGCAACCCTGTACAGGATTTCCAAGGAGCAGCTGGTGGTTTTCAACTGCTGACCCTGTGGTTCACAGCCCAGTGTGAGAGTTTACAAAAATGGAAGAGGACTATCATTGTTATCACTACAGAACTGGCAAACCACTGAGCATCATGGCCCAGACAAGCTGACATGTAACCTCAGCCATCAGAGCTAGCGTTACTCTCCCCTAGCACCTCGGCATTCACTAATGCCATATACACGTTGTTAATGCAGAAAACAGTCAGAAAGCAGACTTCTTACTATTGTGGTAAATGTAAAATAACAGCTAACGAGATAGTAAGTGTTCCCACTTAAGTATATATATATATATATGTGTGTGTGTGTTGTATATATGTTGCTGTTTAAGTGCCGGTGAGTTGGTTCCGACCTATAGCAACCCTGCATAGGGTTTCTGAGGAGCAGCTGGTGAGCTTGAACTACCGACCCTGCTGTTCAAACCGACTTTGCAATCCAGCGCATGAACCCACAGCGCCACACCAGGACTCCATTAAGTGTATAGAGTGTGTGCATATATAGAGAAAGGAAATATGGAAAAATGGTAACGTGATAAAACTAGTGAACCTGAATGTTATCTGGGGTATCCATTCAATTTCCTATAAAACCCACAGCCAGTGAGTCAAGTTCAACTCAAAGTAACCCTACAGGACAGAGGAGAACTGCTCCATAGGGTTCCCAAGACTGTACATCTTTATGGGAACAGCCACATCTTTCTGCTGTGCAGCAGCTGGTGAGTTTGAAGCACTGACCTTGTGGTTAACAGCCCAATGCTTAACCCACTGTGACCTAGAGCTCCTTTCAATTTTATTTTAAAATTTCTCAAGATAAAAAGTTGAGAAAATAATTAAGATTCAAGGGAAAAACCTGAGTGTTGCCAATTTCATCATACGCCAAGGCAATTGGAATGATAACATATAAAAAAAAAAGTGACTGGAAGCTTTTGGTGGGGGGGTGGGCTTTCTGGGACATAAATTTGGATTATTTTTAATATCGCTGTAAATCTGCAGAGTATAGCACTTTTACTATACTACATGGAGGATGAGCAAACTATCAACAATATCCAGATTGTATAATATTCTATAATTTCTCAAAGTGACAAGAAGGAAAAGTACACTATCAACAGTATTGGGACTAATGAGTGATTCATTATGGGTGATTTTAATTTTTTTCTTTGTACTTTTAAAAACATTTCTAAGTTTCTACAATGAGTGCATATTATCTCTATAACATAAAAAACAGACCCCCCCACCCAATTCTTGATGTTAAAAGAAAAACAAAAACTAGGTCTGCAATGTTTCCCAAACCTGCCTGGACTCATAAATCACTGAAGACACTTGTAACAAACCTAGACTCCTGGTCCTCCTCCAAACCTTTTAAAGCAGAACCTCCAGGAAAGACGCCTGGTGGTCACAAAAGCCTCGGAGGCACCTATGATTAAGCAAGTTTGGGAAGCTATGCTAAGACACAAGAAGGAGTACACTCCAAGGGCTAGAGGTTGGCCTGTCCTTCTCAGGATGGTCCCGACACTGGACAGAACAACTAATTCCTCTTATTCTAATCCTTGGTCAGTGGCCTGACAGCCACAACTCTCACTACAAATTAATGAATCTACAAGAGTGATCTAGACTCTGCAAGCCTGAATAATGTAAGTCTCCCAGGAGAGGGCTCCAACTCAGGAAGCTGATCCAGCCAGAATCCCCTGGCATTACCCCTCTGCATTCCCGGGGGCCAGAACTGTTGACACTAGAATCAGAGTGAACCCACTATCCTGAGACCTGGAAATGAGAAAAAGCCTCAGTATGAAATTAAAAGCTTTACTGCTTCTGTATCTAGCGCTTTGAGATACGGTTGGAGACAAAGTAGTGAAGACAATTATTCTACTCCTTTGTCTCAGATACTCCAACATGGGACTGGACCAAAAGTCTCACAGTACAAATGTAAAACACAGGGATACCTGGGTAATGGAGAGGGGTGAAATGCATGTTTAAACTCAGAACAATTACTTTCTAGGCAAATTATACACTGTGTTTAACTGAAAGCCTCCAAATCTGATTTTAAATCTGAAGTATCTGCTTTTCCTATTCTAAAGAGAAAGCAGCTTACACAACAGAGTAATAAGTATGCCTTAGTTCTCTAGTATTGCTGTGACAAATACCACAATGGGTGGACTTTCAACAGACAGAAATTTATTTCCTCACAGTTTCTTTTTGTTGTTGTTGCTAAGTGCCGTGGAGTCGGTTCCGACTCACTGCAACCCTAGACAGGGTTTCCAAAGAGCATCTGGTGGGTTTGAACTGCTAAACGGTTCAACGGACAGCTCAAATGGACCTTGTGGTCCAGCACATTATCCTGCAGCGCCACACCAGGACTCACAGTTTAGGAGGCTAGAATTTAGCGCATCAGCTCTAGGGGGACGTTCTTTGTCCCTCTGTGGGCCCTGGGGAAGGGCCTTGTCTCTTCAGTTTGTGTCCAGGTTCTTGAAGGTTCCATGTAACTTGGCCCACATCTTCCCCCACCTCTACTTCTCTAGAGATTGACTCAAAATACACTCTACACTAATCCTATCTCATTACTGTAACAAAGACAACCCATTCCCAAAAGAAAAATTATAGCCAAAGGCACAGAGGTCAGAATTCACACTTATTTTCAGAGGTAACACTTCATATGGGAGTTCTTGTGTGGTGCTGCGGGTTAATGCACAGACTGCAAAGCTATTTGAGCTGCAAGGTTGGCAGTTCAAGCTCACCAGCTGCTTAAGTTCCCCAGCTGCTCCTTGGAAACCCTAGACAGGGTCGCTATGGGTTGGAACCGACCTGGTGGCACTTCACAACACCACCACCAACACTTCATAACAGAATATTTTGTTGTTGTTGTTAAGTGTCGTCAAGTCAATTCCCACCCATAGCAACTCTGTCTAGGGTTTCCGAGGAGCAGCTGGTGAGCTTGAACTGCCGACCTTGCAGTTCAAAGGGCTTTGCAGTCTGGCGCATTAAATCACAGCGCCAACGTAAATGTAAAGTTGAGGGCCTGCACTGAAAAAAGATGCCAAGCCATTCTTTCAGAATTAGCCCGTGGTTACTCTGCCACACGGCACCAGGATGACCATTTCATAGATTAGATCATTACTCATCTTGTATGGAAGAGCTTCCCTTTTTTATCACACAAAGGCGTTTCAGGGAGGAAATTTTTTGGGCAAATCATTCATTACAATGTAGAAAGGTATTTTTAACCTGAAAATCCCGAGTCCTTATCGGACTCAGCAGTCGCCATGCTGAGTTGACGAACCATCTTTCCCATCTCCGTCCCTTTGCCTAGTTTGCCTGAGAGTCGTCTGGGGCTCTCCCTAGTAGGATTTTTCCTCTCCATTTTTCATGGGACTGGAAGCAGGTGCATCAGTGCTCTTTGTATCGGGATGGTCCTGTGAAAACAATTACACAGAAGTCAGGGCTCAGAGAGCAGAAAACATGTGATCCAAACAGTGAGGCGCACAGGAAGGGCAAAGGAGCCTGGCCTTGCCCACTTCGGCTCTATTTGCTCAGAGCTCAGCTGACAAAAGCATGAGTTTGCCGCCAGCAGCATGGTTTCCACCCAGAGGCAGATTCACAATTCTCTCACTGCTACAATTCCATTACAGCTTCAAGGCACACTAGCCACGTACACTGGGAGCTTTGTACACTGCTAACAAAGGCACACTTCATGAGGCTTTCTTGGATGGGTAACCAAATCCACTCACCCTCCTCTCTGAAGAGAGGAGTGGCGATGATGTGACATCAGGCTTGCTTTCCTGGTGGACGTTTGTAGGCTCATGACTTGCTGCTACCTCCCCCCATGTAGTTTCTCAAGTAACCTCTCACTTCCTTGGATGAGGTAATGGACAGAGTGAAAACGTTCATGCACAAATCACTTCATTTTCCCATGAAACTTTCTGAAGTCCCCTTGTCCATAAAAAAGTGTCTTAATTACATACGAAGGGAGTTCATCACATTGTGGTTAGTTATCTCACTTAACTGTCACAGTGACCACCTCTTGGCTATCCCCATTTTACAGAGAAGAGTGTTGAGGTTCAAATAAACATATTCATTTAAAACAATTTATCAAGTGCCCACTATGAACCAGGCCTTGGTGCAGGGACTGGAGATAGAGTGAAAAGGACAAGCATGGTCCCTGCCTTCCTAGAGCTTGCAGTCTAAGGAAGAGAAGAGAGACTAAACAAGTAATCACATACTACTTAATTACAATTTGATAAGAGCTATGAAGGAGCTCTGGTAGCGTAGTGGTTACAAATCAGGCTGCTAACCTCAGGGTCAGCAGTTCGAAACTACCAGCTGTTCCACGGGAGAAAGATGAGGCTTTCTGCTCCCGTAAAGATTTACAGCCTCAGAAACTCTGTACAGGGTCGTTATGAGTCAGAACCGACTCCACGGCACATAACAACAACAACATGAAGGAGTATATTCAAAGCACCATGGACTACCAAGCGAACAAACAAATCTGCCGCAGAAGAGGGTCAACCAGAATTGTCATTAGAAGCAAGGACAGTGAAGCTTCGTGTCTCATACTCTGGACACGTCGTTAGGAAGAAGCAGTCCCCAGACATTATGCTGGTGAGTGGAAGATCAGGGAAAAAGATGAACTGACATAGTGGCAGCAACAAGAGGCTCAAACCCACCAACTGTAAGATGCTACAGCGCCGAGTAGGTTTCATTCTGTTGTGCACAGGGTCTCACTGTGACTCTATGACACCTAACAACAACAAAATGAAAGAGAGGGGCTAAAGGTCTGTGGGTATGGGGAAAGGAAGGCTGGGCTCTACGTGGGGAGTCAGCCAGGTGAATGGGGAGGTTTGGGTGTAGGAAGAGTGGGTCAAATGCTCTGTGCTGCCACTAGAGAGGAGGAGGTGGGGAGCACACAGGCAGTGCATTGGAGCCAACATGCAAGATTCAGGATAACTGAAGAGCAATGAAAGACCACAGAAGGAACTGAAGCAAAAGGCTGCTGTGACCAGATTTGCATTTTAAAAGCATTTTGGGTGCTGGGTGGAGACTGAATTGTGGAGGCAAGCACGGCATTGAGATGCTAGTAGCAGCAGTAGAGATGGAGAGAACTAACAGATTGGAGATACACAGGAGGCTGACTTGATGGCATTTGGTTATTGGATGTGGGTCATTCTCTAACCAGTGGGTTGAGTGCAGTGGGGCAGGATGAGGTGGCCAGAGTTTAGTTCTAGCCCTGTAGTCCAAGGTGACTGTGGGTCATTTAAGTGGAGAAGCTGGTAGGCAGCCAAATAAACAAGACTGGAGCCCAGGAGAAAAAGTCTCCGTTTGCCCCGGTGGCACAGAGCTAGTCCACAGCAGACGCAGAACTAAGCTAACAGTGCAAAGAGGGAGACAAATCCACTGATGGGCAGCCGGGGCTGGGAACACTCCAGATAACTTTACCTCAAAGACCCCCTGAGTGACCAAGGAGCGGTAGCTATGAGGTTGGCATGTGGAGAGCACCAAGGATATTGCTAGAATAAAGAGAAAAATAACGAGCCAACAGGAAAAATGACAATCACGAAACTGGGTAGGTGTTAGCACAGCCTGGTGACATTTTCAGTCATAGTCCACTCGGAATTGCATCCTTTCGTCCTTCCGAGTGGGTAGAAACACAAGTGCCCTGCCAAACTCCTGTGTCTGGGATGCCTGCAATGCTAAGTTTGACTATATCTGCTTCTATAAGGCCTTGTGTAGAATATCCACGACTGAAGAAACAAAGGGAGGCTTCAAATCAAACAGAGCGCAAAACGGGCAAGAGCAACCGTGTTCAAACTCTCTGCCAGAGGAATGGACTGAAGGGAATGCCACCTGGTCTGAAAGAGACTGAATGGGAAACACAATTTCAAGTAAAACATGTTTTGCACCATATCTAACTCATTTAAAAGGACTGCCTTCCTCATTCAGTTCATGTCAAAACATCAAGGACTCTCTGAGAAGGCATAACAGACAAGACAACAGGACTGTCACGTCTTGCAGAGCACTGAGCAAAAGCCATGTCTATTTGACAGTTAAAAAGTGGTGAACTCAGTTTTAAAAAAAGTAGACTAAAATGTAAAACTGTATCTTTAATTAAATCAGAGTCCTTTCGAGTGAAATGCAAAAACTGTGCATAATTTCATTTTCTTGCAAATAGCACTGTTTAAAAATGCAGTGGAGGCAGGTTCTAAAAGGTAGTAGACGTGGCTTGTGGATAATATTCAAAACCAACTCAAGTCTGACTATGCTGCTGATTTAGATTAGAAAGGTAGTTCATGTTAGTTGCAACTAATTAAGACTGCAACCAAGCTTTACATGATTTTACTAAACCCAATTATCTCACAAAGGTTTAGGGAGAAGCAACCCAATTTAGTCTTCCAGTCTTCTACAGTCCTTGTGTCAAGGCAAAAAAAAGGTCTTACTAATAAAATAAGTAAGATAATAATTACAGGAATCACTGAGTGGTGCAAATGGTTAAGCACTGGGCTGTTAACCCAAATGGTCAGTGGTTTTCTATGGGAAAAAGATGTTGCAGTCTGCGTCCATAAAGATGGAAACCATCTAGGGCGGTTCTTCTATACGGAGTCCTAGTGTGGCGCTGGAGTCAATGCGCTGGACTGCAAAGCCAGTTGCTCCTCGGAAACCCTATATAGGGTTGCTATGAGTCAGAACCAACTAGATGGCATGTAACAACGGCAGCAACCCTGTCCTATGGGAGTGTGGTTGCTCTGCAGGATAGCACTGGACTGCAAATCACAAGGTTAGCAGTTCAAGCCCACCTGTTGCTCCACAGAAGAGCTCTCAATGATTTACAGCCTCAGAAACCCTGTACAGGGATGCCACGAGTTGGAACTGACTTGACGGCACTTAACAAGAGTAACAACGAACAAAGCTATGGAAGACACACAGGAATTTATTCTGGCTCATGGGGAATTTATAAGGAGCTCTGGTAGCATAGTGGTTACGAATCAGGCTGCGAACTGCAAGGTCAGCAGTTTGAGACTACCAGCTGCTCCCTGGGAGAAAGATGAGGCTTTCTGCTCCCGTAAAGATTTACAGCCTCAGAAACCCTGTTCAGGGTTGCTATGGGTTGGAATCGACTCGATGGCACTTAACGACAACATGGGGAATTTGTAGGATAATATTGATTGTGGAATCAAAATACAAAATCAAAAATACAAAAACGTTGGTCAGTAGGTTAAAAGAGGGAACGATTCTGAAATTTTAGATGCTGGAGAATGGATGGTGGTTGAGAATGAAAAACATGTGATCTATTTTAGAATATTTTAGAATGGAGCCCTGGTATGGCGCTGTGGGTTAATGCGCTGGACTGCAAAGTAGGTTTGAACTGCAAAGCTGGCAGTTGGAGCTCACCAGTTGCTCCTCAGAAATCCTATACAGGGTCGTTATGGGTCAGAACTGACTTGACAGCACTTAACAACAATTTGAGGTGGTAAATTGGCTAGTTGGGATGTGAACGTGATCAAAAATACAAATTGCTCTATACTTAGCAAAGTTCTTTAAGTAACAGAAATCTTGACTGTCCCAGCGAGGTTCAAGTGGGGTGGGAATGAAGGGCTTCATCCCATAACCACAGGTCTTCTCTCAGGTGGGAGGATGGTACTGCCTGTCTGAGGAGGTCAATTAGCCATTGAACAACAGACCCATTCAGAGCACCAAATGAGGCCCACAACAAGAGAGAAAACCCTGACAATTTACATCAGTGTTCTCAAGCCCAGGGCCTTGCAAACGGCAAAGGCCGACCACCTCAGGGAGTTACTTGAGGTTTTTCCTCTTCAGTATGGTTTTACAAGTCAGATGTTCATAAGCGGACTAAAAGTTGAAAACGGGTTACTGATCTCAGAGCCTCTGTCATTTCTGCATTTTTGACTAACATGGTGTGTCATGAACACCTCAGCTCCTCATTCGTCTAACTTTGCATTGCGGTTGTTGTTACATGCCATCGAGTGGGTTCCAACTCATAGCGATCCTGTATAGGATTTCCGAGGAGCAGAAGGTGTACAGGAGTCCTGGTGTGGAATCCGCTATGCACAGCAGAACAAAACACTGCCCAGTGCGGCATCATCTTCACACTTGGTATTTCTGAGCCAATTGTTGATACCACCGTGCCAATCCATCTCTTTGGGGGTCTTCTTGCTTTTCGTTAACCCTCCACTTTACCGAGCATGATGTTGTTGTTGTTTAGGGCTGTCAGGTTGGTCTGACCCATAGCAACACTGTATCTCTATAGTTTCCAAGGAGTGGCTGGTGAGTTTGAACTGCCAACCTTGTGGTTCAAAGCAACCTTGCAGTTCGGTGCATTAACCCGCAGCACCACACCAGGATTCCAAGCATGGTATATATATATGTTGTTGTTGTTATGTGCCGTTGCATCAGTTCTGACCCATAGCAACCCTGAACAGGGTTTCTGAGGCTGTAAATCTTTACGGGAGCAGAAAGCCTCATCTTTCTCCCGCGGAGCAGCTGGTAGTTTCGAACTGCTGACCTTGCGGTTCACAGCCCGATTCGTAACTACCAGAGCTCGCTGGTATGTGTGTGTGTATATATATATTTATGATACAGACTTGTTATTAAGTGTTGACGAATCGGTTCAGGTTCACAGCAAACCTGTGTATTTAAAACCATTGACCTTCTGATTGGCAGTTGAGTGTTTATCCTACCGCACCACATCAAGAGTGCTTCCTAGCACTTGGCTACTCTCTTTCTGAACTTTTTACATTGTCTGTTTGTCTCAGACTCCTGGTGTGGCGCTAGAGGATAAGCACTGGACTGCTAACCAAAAGGTTGTGTTTTAAACCCACAAACCACTCCTTGGATACAGGGTCACTATGAATCAGAACTACAACTGCACATTATCAATTGTTTGTCTCAACATCAAAGGTTGTTTTTTTATCTTTGCAACCTCAGCCTCAACAATGAACAGGCCTATAAGACATGTGAGGAACTCATCAGAACAGTAAATTCCAATAAATCTTCTGTCCTGCTGGGTCTGACAGCCTTCTCAGCTTAACTGTCAACAAAAGACCCCAATAGCTTGAAGGTTGAGATTCTGCATTTCCAAATCACCACGGTCATCTCCAGATCTCTGAATATCTAACCTACCCCTTACTTGAAAATGGAACCTCTCCTATACCAACCGAATCCACCAGCAACCTCTTTGGAGATTTGGTTTCATGATAAAAAGGAGAGCCAAGGGTTACAAGGAAAGGATCTGAAATGCTGTTCTCAGATCTTTCTTTTTATAGATACCTGGCAACTTTCCCAAGAGCTCAAGTTCCCTTTAAAGTGTGTCACATGTGTAACATGCGTGCCTGGACGGAGGTATGAGGTTAAAGCCCAAGTAGAGGCTTATATGCAATAAAGTGACAAAGCTGTCAGAAACACAGACTTTATCATCTAGAAAACCATAAGCAATGCCAGTTAGATTTATACATATATTACAAGGCTTTCCCTGAAGTCACATTCTCTTGGTCTGCATACCCAGAGATACCATTGGGGGGAGAAGGGGAGTAGGGGAAGGACTCTTCTATCTAAATCTCTACTCTTCAGCTTCCCCTTTTCATTCTGCAACTTGGCTGCCATTGGTGTCAAAAGATCCCCAATAAAGCGTCTGTGTATGGTACAATCATGGGTCACTCCACTTTCCCTTTTCAAAGAGGAGGTCTATCTCCTGCTTCAAAAGGGTGGGCAGTAACAGTGCCCACCTACCCATTCACACCAGCCCACGCTGCATCTGTGCCAGGCAGCATAAGCACACTCCAGGCATTCACCAGCCTGTCAGCTCAGCATGGCAGAAGTGGGCAGACCCTAGTATGGTGCTATCACTGGTGCGCTACCAGCTTCCCAGGGCAAACACCCAAGCAGTGCTTACTGCCAGCACTTGGTAATTACACAGAGCCTGGCTGTGGCCTGTGCCCCTCAACCCACCCACTAACCAGGACCTCCCTCACTGCCTATCCTCTCCCACACCTCCACGGCTTGGCACCATGCCTGGCATGCTGGACACCCAGGGGAAATACTCAGCAAAGGGAGTGACAACACACCTGTGCCCCAGGCCCAGCACCCCCAAACTGAAGGTCTAGGCCTCTCACCCTAAAGCCAACTCCCGTGCCCACTCATTTACCCATTGCCTGTCATCTACTCTGAGCCCTGCAGGCCTCCGGGCTCTCTCCCCGCCCCGTCCGAACTATCCTACCTGCTCTTCACCCACGTCCCTTACCCACAAACAGCCCCTCTCACATGCAGTCCCCGCCCCTGACCGCAAAACCTGTCAACTAAATTGGGGAAGAGACATGCACACAACCCCTGCTCTCCCAGTCTGAGCCCTGGGTCCCCGAAAGCCCGGGTTCTCGCTCTCACCTACCTCGCTCCCCTTCTCCCACCTTCTTGCCCGACGCTCCTCCCACAAACCTCCGCGGGTCGCGCCATGCCTGCTCCCCTCCCTTTCTCACCTAGGGCGGGGGTCGCCACTCCACAACCGGACCTGTGGGTCAGGTGGCGCATGCGCGAGCCCGGCCCCGCGGCTCCATGACAACCCTGTCTTCACCGGGTCTCAAGCAGTCCCCCAAGACTCCCGCCCATTTCTCCTCCCCCTACCCCCGCCGCCGCTCACGCCAGCCACGTGACCCGACTCGGCGTCCGGGCACCATAGAGATCGCGCGCTGTTCTCCTAGAAGGGCCCTTGGAGACGCATCCTTCCCCTTTCCCCTCAGCCGGCACTCTCTCCGCGGAAGGTGGACGTTTCTATGGTTGGTCTAGGAGGTGCTTGCCACCATTTTGTGCGGGGGCCGTGAACGTCTAGTTAGGCGGGAAGATTCAAGAAACCGGGGGGTGGGCGGGTTACTGCCGAACTGGCGTGATAATGTTGCGGGAACCGGTGGAGATTGACAGGAGAAACTGTTCCTTGGTTTGTGCCGCCGGGATTCCCGTTGGGGGCCGGTGTGGAAAGCAGGCCGGGCAGCCTCGTGAAGGACGGACAGAGCGTTCCCGGCCCTTTCGACCGTTGCCCGGCCTCGCAGTGGTTTCTTTGCGTTTCTGTCCACCCCACAATGGGCTGCACGAGTATTTTTGTTGGATGATTTCATATCATTTGATAAATGAATCACTTTGCCCCGTGCTGTTGACTTTTTGTTGTTAGTGAAAATACAGCAGAAAATACATCAATGCAACAATTTCTATTTGTCTAATACCGTGACTGGAGCCCTAGTGTGGTGCTGTATGAACGTAAGCACTGAGCTGCTAACTGCACGGTTGGCGGTTCAAACCCACCAGCGGCTCCTTGGAAACGCTATACAGGGTTGCTGAGTTGGAACCAATTTGTAGGGTTACGAGGCCGGCTGCTAACGTCAAAGTCAGCGGTTCGAAACTACCAGCTGTTCCTCCAGAGAACGATGAGGGTTTCTGCGCCACCAACAACCACAACAACAATGATTACATTCAAATTGGGCAACCATTCTCACCCTCCCTTTTTGAGTTGCTCCCCATTAACATAAACTCACTGCCCTCTGAATTTCCTTTCTAAACGTTTTTTGCCACTCTTGTGTGCCACGGAGTCAGTTCCCACTCAAAGCGGTTTTACACAGGGTTTCTGAGAACTGCTGATGGGTTTGAACCGCCGACGTTGTGGTTGCCGGTCTAGTGCTGCTGATCTACGTTGTCAATTTTATTCCATTACGGATTCTTTAAGAGTACATTTTCAAGGCAGATATTCTTTACTGTTGTTTGGTTTAGAGAAGCCTTAAGGGGATATTTGCAGTTTAAGATTTAAAGATGATCTGGGACAGTAGATTTGGGCTTTCATCTAGCCACAATGGAGAGTTGTTAGGCGTCATGTCAGCTTTTGCTGATCTATCTCTATGAAAACACATCATTGCTAAGGAAAAACCGGGATTAAAGTTAAAGTTCTGATGAGTTGAATAAACAAGGGATACTTCTTAAAATTGGAAAAAAAATCCCTCCACAAATGGAAACAAATGATACAGGTGAATTAAAGATTGCTGGTGGCTTGAGACAAATTCTTAAGTCCACTACAAGCAGCCACTAGCCTCCTGGGCTCTTAATTAAAATGAGTGTTTAGTAGGGACATGTGGCTAAGGGCTACTTTATTAGACTCTGCAGCTACAACCACATCAACATCGCAGACAACGCTAGTGTCAGCGCTGAGTTAGATGATGGAATCTTCGCTCTCCGTCGCTACTATAACCAATGAGTGATTTTAACAAAGTTATTTTCTCATGGTTTAAGAAGCTCCAAATCCACATTTGGAGTCTAATGGCGTCAGACTGCATAGTTGTTCAAACTCACTTGGAAACCCTCTACAGGGTTGCTATGGGTCGGAATTGACCCACATTCAGCTCTAAGGGAACTCAGTATAGGGTTTCTGAGGAACGACTGGTGAGTCTGAACCTCCGACCTTGTAGTTTTGAAGGAATTAATTCAATCCATAACAGTGGGGTGGAAGAAATGCCTCCGCATGGTAATCCAAACCTTTTAAAGAACTTCTAGGTCATAGTGGGGATAGGCACCGCACTATGAACCATAAGTGCCGCGGTTCAAGCCTATCAGCCGCTCCGTGGGAGAAAGATAAGGCTTTCTGCTCCCTCAAAGGTTTGGAGTCTTGGTGTGGTGCTGGATTGGAAAGTCGGTTTGAACCAAAAGGTCAGCGGTTCAAACACCAGGCGCTCCTCAGAAACCCTACACAGGGTCGCTATGGATTGGAACCGACTCGATGGCACTTAACAACAGGTCATAGTTAAGAACCTTGGTGTGGCGCTGTAGAATACAACACTGGGGGTCGGTAAGGTCAGGTAGAATCACAAGGCGGTTCAAACTCACTAGCCACTCCTTGGAAACCCTGTATAGGGTTGCTATAAATTCAAACGGACTCAATAGCACTCAACAACAGTTAAGGAGCCCTCGTAATATAGTGGATTATGAGCTGGGCTGCTAACTGCAAGGTCAGTAGTTCGAATCTACCAGTCACTCCATGGGAGAATGGTGAGGCTTTCTGTTCCTATAAAGATTTATAGTCTTGGAAGATAGTTGGAGCTGGGTGGCTTTGTAGGATAAGCACTGGATTTTTGAACCACAAGGTTGGTGGTTCAAGCCCACCAACCACTTCATGGGAAAATGATGAAGCTTTCTGCTTTTTCAGAAAGATTTACGGCCTTGGAAACCCCATACAGGGTCACTATGAGTCAGAACTGATGAGACAGCACATAACAATGACCGAAGGTCATGGTTAATCATGTTAGCACTCCAGACACCGATTAGTGGATTTGAATGTATTTATTAGCATAAACACAGCCAACAAATAATGAACTGCCTACAGCATATAAGGCTTTTGTTTTGAGGACGGAAGGAATGAAAACAACAGCTAACAATTACGAAGTCATTAAGAGCTAGGCAGGTTTACGTGTGCACTCTCTTAGGATGCCTGGACAAATGTATGAGGTGGTGTTCTTATTACTTCTAGTCTGCAGATGAGCTAACTAAGGTTCATGCCCATGATGATACAACTGCAAAGCCCCAGGCCTTTAACCAGTGAGCCACATGCTTCTTTCTGAGGCTGAATAATACAGTATTTGCCTTCAAGTAACTTAAAAATCTGGAGCCCTAGTTTGGTGGTGTAGGTTAAGCACTGAACTGCTAACCACAAGTTTGGTGCTTCAAACCAGCTGCTCCTTAGAACCCTGGTAAGGGCTACTATGAGTTGGAACCGATGGTCTTACTCTCCAGATTATATTTTAAATTGTTAAGGGTTGCTGAGTCGGTTCCAACTCAGTGATCCTGCACAGGGTTTCTGAGGAGCAGCTGGTGGCACTGCGGGATAATACACCGGACTGCAAGGTCAGATTGAACCGCAGGGTCAGTGGTTCAAGCCCACCAGCTGCTCCTTGGAAACCCTATTCAGGGTCACTGTGGGTTGGAACCCACTCGATGGCATTTAGCAGGAACAATAATACAAGATAGAATGTGCGAAGGGCCAGAAATTCTGAAGAAAAGCTAATGAATAAAATCAGGGAAGGGAAAAGTAACTTTCACTCGAGTTTTGTTTCTTGTGGGAAGTGGGAAAGATGAGTAGGTAAAGCTTCAAGGACTGTGACACGTTAGATTTTCAGCAGTGGAGCAGCTAAGAGCAGAGTGTATGCCAGGCAAAGGGGAACAAATGGAATAAACAAATGCAGGAAGGCAGCCTTAGCTTGCTCCTCCAGAGGGGCAAATGAGCTTCCTGGTTTGTTTGTTTTGTTTAAGGACCTCTGGTGATGCTGTGAATTAGGAGTTGGGCTACTAACCACAGTGTGAGCTGTTCAACCCACCAGCTGCTCAGCAGGAAGATGAGGCTGGCTGCTCCCATAAAGATTTACAGTCTCAGGAACCCTGTTATCAGGTGGCTGGGTCTGAATTGACTGAAAGCCAGTGGGTGGTCTCTGTTTTCACCTATGCCATGAGCAGATGGCTACACTGTATCAATAACGTAAGCTTCAAAGACACATTAGATAATGAAACCTAAGAGAATGCAACCAATTTACTGGTAGGCATAATTCCTGACGTGGTGCTCTAGGATAATCATTGGACTGCTAACCGCAAGGTTGACAGTTCAAGCTCACTAGTTGCTCCTTGGAAACCCTATACAGAGTCACTTTGAATTAGAATTGACTCAGCACTTAACAACAACAACAACAAAACCCCCATAATTAGTATTGAGCTGCTATCTAATTCTGTTGCTGATGCTGTTGCCTCTGAGTCCATTGTGAGGCCTAGCAACCTTGTCCAGGGTTTCCCAGGATGACTTGTGGGTTTGAATTGCTGACCTTGTGGTTACCAGCCCAGTGTTTATCCTACAGCACCACACCAGGACTCCCTATAATTCTGTTATCATGAGGTATATAGAATAAATGAATCCTGAAAAGGGATAATAGATGTTTTTATATGGTCCCGCCTATTTGTTCTTAACTTTCCCTTTCTGTTAATTCACCGGGATTTGCACATCAGCATCTTTGTTGATAGTTTCCAGCTGCTTGATCTTTACTCTCACATGCTTCATAAGGCATCAGTTCTCCTTGCTTCTATCCTGTTCCTCCCTTCCATTTACAGTTCAAAACTCTCATTTTGCCACTACTACTTCCAGCAGGGGGAGACCTGCTCCCTTAAATGCTACACTTTGAGGACTTGCAATTGGCTGATAGATTTCTTACTCTGTCTCTGTCAAGGAGGATCAGAGAGAGGAGGTCAAAAACTGCTCCTCTGCCCACCCTACTTCATGAAGTTGTTACCTGTCCTATCCATGTGGACGTTTGAAATTTTAATCCTGCATAGATACCTTGAAGAGTTCACATGATGCTGACTTGTATTGAACATTTAAGGAAATATATATTATAGTGTATAATTTTAAATATTTAATCATGCTAATATTTTAAATTTAAGTTACTTAAAATTTATCAGAGAGTAATGAAAAAAGTTTAATCAAGAGCTGTTGTTAGGTGCCGTCAAGTCAGTCCCAACTCACAACAACCCTACCACACACAACAGAACAAAACACTGCCCAGTCC